TGTTCGTGTTCGTATTACCTAGTCTTCCCTCTAACAGAATTGAATGTTCCGAATTATACAGGGAGCCTTTACAACTCAACACTTCGACCAGGACCTTAATTTCCATGCCACTGATGAGAATCTGATGAAGAAGAAGGTATGCTGATTATTCCTTGATGAACTGATGATATACTGTGCTCTAGTGTTTTCTGAAAATTGAATCGACGCTTTTTTCTGGCAGGCGGTGAATAAATTGTGCATGAACGTTAAACCAAGTGGTGTTGGTCCCAAAATATCAAGCTTACCAGGCGAGGATCAGAAAATGCTGTCCAGGTTTAAAGATCTCCTGGAAAAAATGTTTGTGCTAGATCCACAGGAGAGGCTCACTGTGTCACAAGCGCTTAGCCATCCATTTATCACTGGCAAGTGAAATAAAGACAAACATACTTCTCACTTGTAACATATTGAGATTAGCTTCATTTTTCTGAACTAAATTACATGCCTGCTATGCCATTTCGTTGTTGAGGTTTTAGCTTTGAGATGTTTGATACCAGAACGAAGCATGGGAGAGATGGCTATATTGTCTTGAGCCACTTCTGTAATGGCAGGTGTATTTGGTAACCGTTATTATTATACTATATATATTAGCCTCAAAGATGCAGGGTTTCTTGTGTTTCACACTGTTTGATAGTATAAGTGAAACAAAAACACGCAAAGTAATCTGTCGTATGAACAGATACATCTTGTTTGTCATCCATATTCAGTTACTTATGCGGAAGTTTCTTGAAATTGCACTTAATGTGAATGTGTTCGTTTTGTGATTAAGCCCTACTTGTGTGCGTCAAATGCTTGATACTCCCTTTGTTCCTAAATATAAGCATTTTTTAGAGATTTCAATATGAACTACACATATGGAGCAAAATGAGTGAATCTACGCTCTGAAATAAGTTTATATACATCCGTATGTAGTTCAATATTGTTGAATCTCTAAAAGGTCTTATATAAAATGAGTGAATCTACGCTCTAAAATAAGTCTATATACTCACTCCGTTCGAAAAAACTTGTCTTAAGCTTGTCCCTTAAATGGATGTATTTGGCACTAACTTGGTGCTAGATATATTCATTTAAGGGACAAACTTTTTTGGACGGAAGGAGTACGTCGTAGTTCGTATTGTAATCTCTAAAAGGGCTTATAATTCAGAAACGGAGGGAGTATATCTTTTTTTTCCAAACATAGCATATCAACATCGTATTGCGTCTGGTCGAGGCAACGGGCCTTTCCCAGTCTCGTGGTGTTGAGCCTTCCTAGAATTCCGCTATCTGTGGGCTTTTATGGCGCCAGCAAAGGGGACACGGCCCACGCCCGTGCCGCGCACCGCGCACGCCGGGGGTTTTGGCGGGAAACCCACACGTCACTAAGCGCTGCGGGCCCGCGGTGTCAGTGACCCACATCACAGTGGAGGCCAGACCCTTCTCCCCCCTTCCCGTCTTCTCCCCCCGTTTTCCCCACCTCCTTTTCCCCTTCGTCTCGCTCAAACCGCGAACAGCATCGACTCGGCGGCGGCGGGCGGCGGCGAAGCAGGCGGAGGAAGCGCCGGAGAGCACGCAATGCCGCCTAAATCGGACAGCGTCGAAGGTAACGCCCCTAGTCTCTCCAGCCCCCACATCCAGCCCCACCCCCA